TGTTTTAATACACTTTACTCAGAAATGAATATTAAGTTATTATGACCACAATATGCTGATATCAAAGATGTCAATTCAGTATTAAATTCAGCTTATATTGTTAATTATTGCCTTCCTAGGACAATTATTTTCATGTGTTATAGGAGCTAAACAATACGGGTATTTCCATGTGTAATAGGAGGCAAACAATATTTTCATGTGTTACAGGAGCTAAACAATACGGGTATTTCCATGTGTAATAGGAGGCAAACAATATTTTCATGTGTTACAGGAGCTAAACAATACGGGTATTTCCATGTGTAATAGGAGGCACATAATATTTTCATGTGTTATAGGAGCTAAACAATAGGGGTATTTCCATGTGTAATAATAGGCAAACAATATTTTTATGTGTTATAAGAGCCAAACATTATTTTCACGTGTAAAAGTAGGCAAACAATATTTTCATGTGTAATAGGAGCTGAACAATACGGGTATTTTCATGTGTAAAAGGAGGCAACCAATATTTTCATGTGTTATAGGAGCTAAACAATACGGGTATTTCCATGTGTAATAGGAGGCAAACAATATTTTCATGTGTTACAGGAGCTTAACAATACGGGTATTTCCATGTGTAATAGGAGGCAAATGATATTTTCATGTGTTACAGGAGCTAACCAATACGGCTATTTCCATGTGGTATAGGAGCCAAACATTTTTTTCACGTGTAAAAGTTGGCAAACAATATTTTCATGTGTTATAGGAACTGAACAATACGGGTATTTTCATGTGTAATAGGAAGAAACAATATTTTCAATTGTTATAGAAGCCAAACATTTTTTCTCGTGTAATAGGAGGTAAACAATATTTTCATGTGGTATTGGAACGAAATAATATTTTCATGTGTATTAGGAGGCAAACAATATTTTTATGTTTTATATGAGCAATTAATATGTTCATGTGTTATAGGAGGCAAACAATATTTTCATGTGAAAAAGGAGGCAAACAATATTTTCATGTGAAAAAGGTGGCAAACAATATTTACACGTAGAAAAAGGAGGCAAACAATATATCCATGTGTTCTAGGAGGCAAACAATATTTTCATGTAAAATAGAAAGAAAACAGTATTTTCATGTGTAATAGGAAGAAAAATATATGTTCATGTGTAATATGAGATAACAATATTTTCATGTGTGATTGTAGACCAAAATATTTTCATGTTTAATAGGAGAAATAATATGTTCATGTGTAATAGGAAAAAACATTTTTTTCATGTGTAATAGGAGGTTAACAATATTTTCATGTGAAATAGGAGGCACACAATATTTTTATGTGCTTTTTAGGCAAACAATACTTTCTGTCTATAATGAGCCGTTTTGGACCTTATTTAATGTACTCTAATTACTTTCCAAATAACATGCCTAAGATTTTAAAATGTTAAGTTGTCTTTAAAAACAAAAGCATAAAAACCTACTTTACAATAAGTGTGAACGTTTGTTCAATGATGTTAAATTGATTGTAAAGGTCTCTATTAGTGATGGGGAAATTAAGAGAGATATGTTATTTACCTTAAACTCTGGTTGAACCTTAAAAGTATGGATCATAACTCATTTATGACCATTTTATGTGTGGCTCACGCCCTATAAAATAGCTACAAGTGCTCTTCTGGTCCTCAATTAACATTTACACTGATTATACAAGTTCACAAATAGATATAATTTATGATGATATGCAATTAAATTTTGTCACATTTATGAAGCTTTGAGTGAGGCGTTAATTATGTGATGATCTCGTTTAAACAAAGTGATTGGTTAAGAAAAAGCAACAGCAATAACAACATCAACAAAAGGGTTTCTTCATTCTTCAAATATTTTCACAGAAATAATGAGAGATATATTTCATTTCAATTATGCTTTACCTCAAGAATATTGTCATCATTTTCTTAGTTTGATAAAAAGAGAAATTTGATTTAATGATACTTGCAAATATTCTAGTTGTATTCAAATTGATCGTAGTGTTACTTTAAGAAATGCGCACATGCTTTTATGAAATGTTTCGAATTTGTAATGGTAGTTTTTATTTGTTTGGGTCGTCAGACCAAACAAATAATGGTAGCGAAATTTCAGAGTCTAATGTTGTTAATTGCAAATGCCGAAAGTAGTGCACTTTTTTGAAGCGGTTACTTCCTTTTATATGTACACTAACGCCGAAAAATTCAGGGGAGATCACTGCGTAAAGATGGTCAAAGACAGGCTCATTCATTTTCAAGCAAAATAATTACCGAATGTTTGAAAATTTCTAATATTGTTTTATTGTATTTTCTGATCGATAAGTAAATACAAAGCGGACATTCAATCTCTGACACAGAAGTTCTACGACAAACCTAACAACAAGAAGTTCTTAAAACAGCTTAAAACTAGCGATTTAAAAGAAAGATCAGAAAATACCACAGACCTTGCAGCCCCTTGATTCTTTATACATCTTTCTATACATGCTTATAGTAAGCTCCAGAATTATTTACATCTGTGTTAAACAACAGTTAAAGTGGTTACAAGTCCTAATTTAGAATAATATGGTTTTTCTTCAGGCCGTTTACATATAAATTCACCGTATTTTCTGATCTTTGCAATCTAAATCGTGCTGTATATCTGTATGTATTTTCCTGTATAAGTTTATTTTTATGTACTATAATTCATCTTGCAAGGCACCAGAGTTTGATACATGTGGAATTTTGCATAACTAGAGTTGCATCAAAAATCATTAATGTTCAAATCCCAGTAAAAGCAACTTTTTTTTTCAAATTGTTTAAGTCAAATAAACATTGGATTGAATATCTGTGTTGCAATTAGTCTTATAGCCAATTTACTACAATTAAAACGCTTGAAACCATTGGTGGCACTATACATATAATCTAAAAACCTGTACCTTTCTACATTCTGAGACCCAAACAAATTCAGCGCCTTCTGTGCTTTGATTTATCTTTTGTGTCTGTTATTTTGATAATATCTAGATTAATGTCTGACTGAACATAAAGAAGCAGCAAGACAATGACACGATGTAAAGTAGAATTTATTTAAATACAATTTTAAAACGAATAACGAAATTGATTTCAATGATGGTAAGTATCAGATTTATATCATTTTTTATTTTGATTTTGAAATCGATTTTTACAAAGGCAAGGGAAGGATAATATAAATTAATATAATTATCTTAAACCTTTCATGATTGAAAAAGAATCATGAAAATGATAAAAACAATCACCATCCTTCTTTATGAGAGCCTGAAAGTAATCTTTTAGTCTTTTATGCCAGGTTTAGGAGGTACAAATCTTATGTTGATAATTTCCCCAAAATAACATTTTTGCTACTAGTTCCAATTCATATAATTAAGGAAAATATATCTTAGTATGCAATGTATATTGTAGGGTTTTCACATTATGTTTTTATACGCAATTTAAATAAATATTTTTTGCTGAAAGTCGTGATAATATACATTGAACTGATGCAAAAATATAAAATGCACATAACAATAACATTGTAATCAGGGATTTTATTGTTGGCAGGTGTACATTCTAGCATTTACGAGTTTTTCATAACCATCTGCTTAGTTTTAAAAGAACGTAAAAGCATATATCACATTTGTCAACTGATTTACACTGATATCAGAAAAACACGACAAAGACCGTAGCAACATAAACATTATCCGTTATCAAAGCAGATCAACATGTCTAACTTATCTTTATATTACTAAACACCGATGCTCATTGCATATTTATACTTTGAAATGCTATAAATTAAATGGTAAAAATGAGCTGCAATTTGCGATTTACGGCCATTATTTTGTGTGTAGGGCTTGTTGATGTGCAAGAGACAAGATGTTGTGTCAGTAAAAAGTTTACTGGCCAGGTTAGAGCTCTTACAACTCTCCTGAAAAAAGGAAGGACATATCTGGATATAACAGATGTAAGTATGAGTTTTTGTTGTATCTGATATAGAATCTGGCTTAAAAATCAAATACCTATTCTCAGTACTCACCCTCATCGTTTCATCCACTGTTATAAGCCACTGTACTAGGCATCAGTCAGGACATCTGCTTTAACAGGACATCTGCAGCAGAGAGTATTGGATTTAAAGTTTAAGTGGCGAGCTTTGAACGTCAACAAAGTTAACGTCCGTAAAGTTTGCTTTTCCTTGACGCTTTGTCTAGGGGATGATGATGTCGCGGGAATTTATTGCTGCTGATAATAATTTGTATTCTGCCAAGTCAAAAGATGTGTGCGCGTTGAAAACAAATATAACAAATATAAAGTATTGTGTAAATCACAAAAAATTACACCACTCTCCCAAAGAATAAAAAATATTTGTACTTTTCTTTGGAAGTCTTTGCTTTGATTTTGAAAGTTGTTCGATTCAGTTCATTGTTAATTGTTGTTTTTTTTATCTTACAGAACAGATTTCAGCTCGATTATGATTATGATTTGAAGATAGACAGAGAATACGAGTTAACTCAAGCATTTAGCATAGACTGTTTATGATATGGCAATTCATCTAAATAAAACCAAGTTCCTTGTGCCTTAAAACACACACCATGCGCACATATAAAATAAACAAATCGTTGTAATAATGAAAAAATCTGAAACATTTCCACATAAATAATGTTGTCAAAAGACTATGCCATTAAAATTAAGTTTCAGAACTTTTTTCAAGAGAGTATCAAGTATTTTAAATAATATTTAAATGAACTTTTTTGTTTGGTTATATACATGTATCTATCATACCGAAATTCCCTCACTTGTATCTCTGTGCTAGTAACATGCACTTCATCACCGCATTTCAATAATTTTATCTTTGGGATACGGTTTTCATATTCATTCTTTATTTTTTTACTTAGACACAATTTAAAACAATAAGCCAATGGATTTATCAGTCTGTATGCCTCATTTTGGAAAGCGCATGCATATTTTCTATCTGTCTTTTTTCAAATGTTTATATTTGATGTCAGTTATAACCTTTATTTGTAGATGAGAAGTTACTACGTGTTTAACAACATCAACAGAAGAACATAGAATCCGTCACTGTGTGTCAAGTAATTTATTTATTTATTTGGACTTATATCATCAAATATCGTATATAACGTTAAAAAGTTATGCAAATATAAGTTAAGTAGGCTTTAAAACTTTAAAAATAGATAAAGTGACTAATTCTATATTTATGAAGACATTTGCAAATATATTAAGATTTGTTTAGGATGTCGCCAAGTTAAGTAGGCTTTAAAACTTTAAAAATAGGTAGAGTGACCAATTCTTTATTCATGAAGACATGTGCATATCTTGAACTACATTTTTCTATAAATGATATATGGTTTTATCATAGAATATATAATGTACCTGTGTTAAAGTATTTGAAAGCCAGCGAATAAAAACATCGATGTTAGAAAATGCCTTACTTATCATTATGGTTTATGAGTGGGCTTGGCTTGCTTTCAACATTTTGCAAAAAAATGAATTGAATAATTGTAAATACATTCCATTTGTCTGATGCAAGTTCCTTTCTATATCCTGATCGCAGAAGTTTTCTATCAATATAGGCCAGTTACATCTGCAAAACTTTGAAGTAATTGGGTCAGGACAAAATCCTGTACATGTACACATATTGGAGGGAACTATCGGTAACTCGACAACAAGGTTGGAGACTTCATCATATGATTGTACGCCCATATCTTCCACTTCATATGGAACAACCGCCGAAGGTAATTTATCTATAATCAACGTGTATTTAATATTCTGTAAATTAAATACATCTTATAAAGAATAAGGAAGTATCTTGTATTTGTTCAACTGAGTAGGATGAATGCGATTTATGTAAATTTTAATTTGAAAGAACAGTTTGCACCGAGTGATCTAAACGAATTCAAGTGATTTTCGTATAAAATGATAAAATTTACATGATTTTAGTACAGATGATGTTGTGCACTTGACATAATTATTTTACCTTGTGTCCGTGTGTTATCCATCATTATTATTGGTTTTGAAACTGTAACATTCAAGTTGCTTATATATATATGTTTGATAATGTATTCATAGAAATTATTTTCCTGAATAAAAATGTTGTAAATTCAACTATCTTATCATTTGAAGTAAGTGCAAAATATAAAAAGCATCTATGAAATTTAGTTTTCATTTGAAATACGAGTTTTTATTCACATCATCATGTTTGTTATATTCATTAATGCAATGACCACAAAACATGTAAAAAAAAATTCTTAGAACCCAACCTTTGATAATTTTTCGGGATATGTGTGTATATAATTTTATATACATTTTTCAGAAATGTTTGCTTGCTTTGTATACAATTTTATGTTATATTATAACTTTCATATCAGCATTGTTTTATATGTTTATATGTCATTTATTATTAAATGGCCATTTCACAATTTTATGTTAGTTTGATAACTTTCATATCAACATTGTATTATATGTTTTTCCGTCATTTATTATTAAATGGCCATTTCAATTTCAAAGTGTAGTTGTTATTCTTGAAAATTATCAAACAGAGAAAACTTCTTCAGGCAAAGATACAACAAATTGAAATGTTGACATAAATATGAATTTCAGAGACGGTTGAATGAAATGTTTTCAGAAGAAAATAGTTTTGTTTGCAAGTGTTTGATTCAAATGTTATGTTACTAATAATTCATAACCTTTTAATGTTGAAATGTTTGTTTACCTTGAAGGTAATACAGTCTCCAAAACACTTCTGTATAGTAATTACACTCAGTATCAGTTGAGCGGTCCAAACGTATTCGAAATTCCAAAGGCATGTTTGACGGTAAATATTCCTTTTTATAACCTTAAATATGAAATTTATAAATTCATTTTGTGATTTGGAAAAGGGACAAAACAATAAAATGAGATAAAAAAATCTTCTAAACAATTACATAGCAATTTCATTCGAGGACAAAACGAGTATGTAATCTTGTCTGAGTTTCCTATGTATTCTTACGGATTTGTGTGATAATTACAGTAACGTGTTGATGAACGAGAACAATACATTCAGTTAGCTTACGTTTTTATGCTACTCAAATTTGTCGTTGAAAATGCACACAGCATTCATTGGTATAAATTTTCCAATCAAGACTTCACAAAAACGATGCGTGTTATGTATTATTTTTCTATATTTCAATAAAGGTTTTGAATAGGACACATGAGGACAGTTTCAATACAATTCAAATGTTTTTATGACATTTTTTTATTTTTCAGACAGCTCAGCCAGTTGGGAAGTAATGCACTAGGAGTTCTGTGCACATGCTAGATCCAAGGCTTATGAATAAAAATTAAAAACAAACAAACCCATAAAATATTACTTTTACGATAAGCGTACCATGTAAATTACATTTGTTCTTTTTATAGGAAAAAAGGTTTTGAGATTGTTTGATATATGAATTTATTTACAAATAATTTACTGCTAGTGCACGATGAATACATACAGCTATTACGATAAGCGAGTAACCTGTAGTTTGTTAGCTCATGAATCGCACCAAAGTATCTCATTAATATTCAAAGTATTTGCTCTAAGATTGTTTAGCCTAATTAAAAAAAACAACAACAACATTTGGTAAATCCAGATCTGACTTGTACTTCTTTGCATGCACTGTAAAATAGCATTGAGTTCTTATTTAAAAACGTATGTATATTGGATGCGTGTACTTTTAGATAATGGGGACATTGTTCTGGTTAAAAAAATAGCCCCCTTTTATATAGTTAAGCGAGGTTAAACGTATGTATGGAAAGCCTTGACTTACTTATGATTATATCATGAATATATTATGTGGAAGCATCCTTATATGAATTCAACCGAACGATATATGCGGTCAATATGTCTTTATATGATTTCGACATATCATTATACAATGTGCATTTATGAATATAATATGTGGTCGCATAATTGACATCTTATAAAGCCACACATACATCATATATTGTTTAATAAAGACGATTCTACATAATATAGTGTTATTTTGACGCTATATAAGAATGGTACCACATAGTATATTCGTAATCGTATAATGAAACACTGACATCATATAAGAACAGACTGATATAATATACTGTTATTATGAAGCTATATAAAGATAGTTCCACATAAAATATTCATTAATGCAATCGTATCATGATAGATTGACATCATATATTTAAGACACATTGACATCATATATTGTTCAGTTCAATTTATGTAAGGATGATGCCACGTAATATATTCATGTGTGCACATTATATAAAGAAAGGTTGACTAAATAGATTGTTATTTGGACATAACAACGTTCAGTTCTATCATTATAAAACAGTCAATGCTTTCCATACGTAATATAGTTTTTTTTATATTTTGGTTTGATTATGTAACGGGTCTGATGCATTTTATGCATTTTCAACTATGTTTATGTTCAAATGAAAGGTTTTAGTGTTGATCCTTTTCTTATTTAAAGTTTTACATTGTTTAATCAGGATTATAAATTAATGTCCAAGGCATTACTATTAACTATTACGAGCGTATCAGCACCGTCAATAAAATTCCTGGCACAATTATTTGTTTAGTCTTTCCTGTGGCATTGACATAATCGTACCTGTCTTGTCACAGTATAAATCGAGAACTATTATGAAAATAATTGAATTTCCGTATGGTTACGTTTCCCCTTAAATTCAATTTTTAAATCTGCACAGACATTCGTAAAGGTAGTATTTTATTCGGCTCTTCAAAGTAAACAGTGCAAAGCTGACCATTCCTTCACAGCCATTCCATTTTATGCGTGCGTAAAAACTCGCTTGCGTCTGTTTTGATGTGTTTTTTTATAAATAGATTAATTCATTGCTGATTGAAACAATTTAGCGTATATGATATAGCAGCCTTTTGTTCATATATTTATGAATAGCGTTGATCACATCATTGCCGAGGTGTCGATCATTTGCATGGTGACTTAGCGACCAGGCGGCCTAGCGGAAGTTCAAAAGTTTAGGATGCTTGATCCGATAGGTTATAGGCCGCAAACTTCACAGATTTAGATGTGTTTTTTTTCTTTTGTGCAAGAATTTCAGAATGGTTTAGCAAATTAAAGCATTTGATTATTTGATATATAAATTTTTACACCACGCAGTGAAGTATTGTAAGCTATTAGACCTACTATTTTAAGAAGTTAACATTACCATTTTGGAAAAGGAAAGAACAACAAAATGCAGAAGATACATTGAAACCTCTCTTTATTAAAAAACAACTATATATAAACAAATACATTGTATTACAACATCGCACATGCAACTACAAAAAAGTCAATATTATGAACAGGAATTGACTGTGAATATAGATATGTACAAAGTAATTATTCTTATCAATGTCTTTAACATAAACAAGACACGAAAATGATTAATTATTGGCAGTTTATTAAAATCAAATACATATAAACAAGGCAAGAAAATGAATGATTGTTGGCAGTTTCGTAAAATTGAAAATAAACCAAAATATATACATAAGTTAACAAATGCACATTGTTATGTATGCAACATATTACATGTATATAATTTATATCTGACCAGTTGGTATTTCCAATATTATCATTGTTCTATTTTTAGAACATAAACTACATGTATGTACTAGAAGGTTCTTAACTGTTGTAGAAAACTCATGCATTATATTTAGATAGAAACTTCTGGAATGATCTTTATTGTTGAAGTTGCTAGATTATGATTACTTGAGAACATAGACCTTTCTGGAAACTTCTTAGTTAATATATATAAGGAGACATTTTTCATTAAATCTTAACTTTAAGTCATCAGTTACCTTTTAAGTCATCAGTGATCTTTTTAGAAATCAATATATTTGGAGTATTATTCAACTTGGAAATTAAGTGATTTATTGGAGCTTGGATTATTAATTATTCTTGTGGATTTTATTGTGGGAATTTATTCTAAAGTGTTCTTGGATTTTTAACTTGGATTTAACTGTGCTATTAAAAAAGGATCATTCCAGGATCAGACTAGACATTTGTAATTTTTATTTGGACTTCAGGTATTTGTAAAGATAATTTGTATTTTATTTTTTTTCTTTAATAATTTTTCTGTAATAAATTTGTTATTGTTACAAGTTTGTTGCTGGCTTTTCTTTCTCGTTACGCCTGGCTCGTAACAGAAATTGGGGGCTCGTCCGGGATTGAATATTTCTTTTGGCTACATTATTGGAAATTATTACCATTTATTCTACATTTTATTATTACCGTATTTACTCATCTGAGTTGATATCATAGTTGTTCTATTAAGTGTACCTTTCATTTTGAAATTTTTGAAACACATCACTTTCTGAGTTTAAAAACCAGGCAGCAAGCAGTCATGTCTTTTAATTTAGAAAAGTTTGTAGCTGACCTTCCCAGGAGGTATTAGATTTGGCTAAGAAAACTGATTTGCTCGATCTTGCAAAAAAGTATAATTTATTAGAATTAAATCTTCAATGCGTAAACAAGAAATTAAAAATCTTCTGATTCATTATTTTGTGGATGAAGATATTTTTGGAGAAGATGCACTTTCTCAGATTGTTGAAAAAGCACTCTGAAATTTCTGAAATAAAGATAAAAGAGCTTGAATTACAATTTAAATTTGAACTAGAAAAAATGCAGTTTGAAAAAGAAAGGGAAGAAAAAGAAAGGGAAGAAAAAGAAAGGGAAAGGCAGTTTGAAAAAGAAAAGAGAAGAGAGAAAATTAGAAAAGAAAGAGTAAGAGAGAGAATTTCAGTTAAGAATGAGAGAATTAGAAATCAAAGAGAGAACAAATCAGTTTGAACATAGAATAAATTCAAATTTGATGTCACTTAAAATATTAGGCTTGTTCCACCTTTCCAAGAAAAAGAAGTTGATAAGTATTTTCTTCATTTTGAAAAGGTTGCTGAAAATTTAAAATGGCCAAAAGAGCACTGGACATTACTTTTACAGAGCGTCTTAATTGGTAAAGCTCGCGAAATCTATACACATCTTACTGTTGAACAAAGCTCTAATTTATGATAATGTAAAAGAATTAATTTCTGAAAGTTACGAGTTAGTACCAGAGGCCTACAGGCAAAAATTCAGAAATTCTAAGAAAGAAATTGGTCAAACCCATGTCGAATTTGCAAGAGAAAAAGAACAACTTTTTGATCGGTGGTGTCTATCTAAGAAAATTAATAAAAATCATGAAAAGCTTAGACAGCTCATGTTAGTTGAAGAGTTTAAACGTTGCATTCACTCTGATGTTAAATCTTTCTTAGATGAAAAACAGGTAGAAACTTTGGAAGAAGCTGCCCGTCTAGCCTGATGATTATTCTTTAACCCACAAAGTCTCATTTTTAAATAAAGGGAAGTCCACACCCTCACATTTTAATTCCAAGTTCAGTTCTGGTAATATATCTGGCTTATCTAGTCAGTCAAATACTCCCAAAACCAAAGTCATCTGATGAACATAAAGGTCATAGTCCCTTATCTCGTCCTACATGCAATTATTGCAAGAAAACTGGACATCTTATTTCTGATTGCTTTACCTTAAAAAGGAGGCAACAACAACGTGATGAGGCCAAACCCACAGGTCTTACCACTTCAAGGTCTGAACCTCAGTCTTGTATTGATAACAATGCAATTTTGAAGGTCAAAGAACCCAAGTCTGATTCTATAATGGAGATTTATGAACCATTCCTTTCGGAAGGTTCCGTGTCACTTATCGGTGACACTTGCCCACCTACTCCTATTACAATTTTAAGAGACACAGGAGCTTCTCAATCTCTTATTTTAGCAGATACACTGCCTTTTTCTGAGAAGACTTCTTCTGGATCTAGTGTCCTTATTCAGGGTGTAGAGTGTGGTTTTTCTAATGTCCCTCTCCATAATATTTTATTTGTCCTCAGATTTGGTAACTGGGCCGGTGGCTGTAGGTATAAGATCTTTCTTACCCTTTAAAGGTGTTCATTTATTGCTAGGTAATGACTTAGCTGGAGATAAGGTAGTGGTTAATCCACTTGTAACTGACACTCCTTGTGTGGATCAGATACCTGATCCCATTGAGCAGGAAATTCCTGACCTTTACCCTTCATGTGCAGTTACTCGAGCTATGGCTAAGAAGGCCATTCAAGAAGACAATTTTTGTTCAGATATTGACTTAGGCTGATACTTTTATAGGTCAGTCTTTTGATAATGAAATAAATTTTTCTCACACTCCTACTCTGCCTGAAACTCAGACAGATTTTTCAATATCTGATTTTTCTACACCAAGATTAAAGATCAAGGTCATGATACGCTGTCAAGGTCACAGCTTATTCAGGAACAACAAAATGATCCTGAGATTTCTGTCCTTTTTCAAAAGGCTTTTTAGTGAAGATGAAGCTTTACAAGTCCCTGTTTGTTATTATGAAAAGAATGGGATTTTAATGAGAAAAATGGCGACCGCCCGATGTCCCTGCTGAAGAGGAGTGGACAGTTAATCACCAAATTGTGGTCCCTAAATCATATCGCCAGGAAATATTAAGCTTGGCTCATGAAACAACCCATGGCAGGTCATTTAGGTGTTAATAAAACCTACCATAAAATTCTCAGT